CTAAAGAAATAAAGTGCGAGAGAAAAATATAGATCCGAAAGTCGCAGAATCGGGAATCGAACCCGAGACCTTTCGCTTGCCGGGCGACTGCTCTTCCAACTGAGCTATTCAGATCCTTTCGATTCTATACTTTTCTCTGTTATATATATTAATGTTGGTAAATAAACGCCTTTAAGCCAGCGTGTATAAATTAAGAGTTTAACTAGGCTCTGTAATATATAAATATAAATTTAACATATATAAGATAGGCAATAAGAGCCAAATCGCGGATGACAGTGCGTTATTCTAAACGAAACTAAATTTTTTCGTTAGAATTAAATACCTGTGCACAAGGCACCAAATTTTTACTTGGACACGGCCAAGATATAAAATTGGAATAATCTCTACAAGAGATTTTTAATTCCATGTATCCCCTATTCCCCCTAAAGAAATAAAGTGCGAGAGAAAAATATAGATCCGAAAGTCGCAGAATCGGGAATCGAACCCGAGACCTTTCGCTTGCCGGGCGACTGCTCTTCCAACTGAGCTATTCAGATCCTTTCGATTCTATACTTTTCTCTGTTATATATATTAATGTTGGTAAATAAACGCCTTTAAGCCAGCGTGTATAAATTAAGAGTTTAACTAGGCTCTGTAATATATAAATATAAATTTAACATATATAAGATAGGCAATAAGAGCCAAATCGCGGATGACAGTGCGTTATTCTAAACGAAACTAAATTTTTTCGTTAGAATTAAATACCTGTGCACAAGGCACCAAATTTTTACTTGGACACGGCCAAGATATAAAATTGGAATAATCTCTACAAGAGATTTTTAATTCCATGTATCCCCTATTCCCCCTAAAGAAATAAAGTGCGAGAGAAAAATATAGATCCGAAAGTCGCAGAATCGACGTTTTTCTAACGAAAAAATTTAGTTTCGTTTAGAATAACGCACTGTCATCCGCGATTTGGCTCTTATTGCCTATCTTATATATGTTAAATTTATATTTATATATTACAGAGCCTAGTTAAACTCTTAATTTATACACGCTGGCTTAAAGGCGTTTATTTACCAACATTAATATATATAACAGAGAAAAGTATAGAATCGAAAGGATCTGAATAGCTCAGTTGGAAGAGCAGTCGCCCGGCAAGCGAAAGGTCTCGGGTTCGATTCCCGATTCTGCGACTTTCGGATCTATATTTTTCTCTCGCACTTTATTTCTTTAGGGGGAATAGGGGATACATGGAATTAAAAATCTCTTGTAGAGATTATTCCAATTTTATATCTTGGCCGTGTCCAAGTAAAAATTTGGTGCCTTGTGCACAGGTATTTAATTCTAACGAAAAAATTTAGTTTCGTTTAGAATAACGCACTGTCATCCGCGATTTGGCTCTTATTGCCTATCTTATATATGTTAAATTTATATTTATATATTACAGAGCCTAGTTAAACTCTTAATTTATACACGCTGGCTTAAAGGCGTTTATTTACCAACATTAATATATATAACAGAGAAAAGTATAGAATCGAAAGGATCTGAATAGCTCAGTTGGAAGAGCAGTCGCCCGGCAAGCGAAAGGTCTCGGGTTCGATTCCCGATTCTGCGACTTTCGGATCTATATTTTTCTCTCGCACTTTATTTCTTTAGGGGGAATAGGGGATACATGGAATTAAAAATCTCTTGTAGAGATTATTCCAATTTTATATCTTGGCCGTGTCCAAGTAAAAATTTGGTGCCTTGTGCACAGGTATTTAATTCTAACGAAAAAATTTAGTTTCGTTTAGAATAACGCACTGTCATCCGCGATTTGGCTCTTATTGCCTATCTTATATATGTTAAATTTATATTTATATATTACAGAGCCTAGTTAAACTCTTAATTTATACACGCTGGCTTAAAGGCGTTTATTTACCAACATTAATATATATAACAGAGAAAAGTATAGAATCGAAAGGATCTGAATAGCTCAGTTGGAAGAGCAGTCGCCCGGCAAGCGAAAGGTCTCGGGTTCGATTCCCGATTCTGCGACTTTCGGATCTATATTTTTCTCTCGCACTTTATTTCTTTAGGGGGAATAGGGGATACATGGAATTAAAAATCTCTTGTAGAGATTATTCCAATTTTATATCTTGGCCGTGTCCAAGTAAAAATTTGGTGCCTTGTGCACAGGTATTTAATTCTAACGAAAAAATTTAGTTTCGTTTAGAATAACGCACTGTCATCCGCGATTTGGCTCTTATTGCCTATTTTAAACTTTTTTCATTTATTTTTTTTTAAATATTAAATATACAAAGAAATTCCAGTGTTTATTAAAAAAAGGGGAGCAAATTCTTAATTTTTTTACTGATTCCAAAACACAGAACTTAAAGTAAAATTGCGTAAGATTTATTTGGTCTATTAAAAAAATGTCGATTCGAAATGATCCACATAACTAAATAAGATGTCATGTAAATTTAATAATTATATAATTTATTTTTTACTTTTCAAATACTAATTTACTTATTTTTTATTCAAAGAATACCTTAATGTGATATTACTTCTTTTTTTTTCATGGAAAATGTATACTTAAAAGAATTAAAAAGCTCGTGGATCTTATTATTATCTTTTTAAGGAGCAATTAATAAACGATAACGGGCTATCATCAAATTTTATTTTAAAACGTATAAATTTATTTTATTGATTACATTTCTCTTAAAATAGCAAGCACTAAATATGCAAACGAAATTCCCTCAATTGGACGCTATTTTGAATGACCATTACAATCTATCGCTAATGACGTATTATTTTAGCGTATATAAATAAATACATTTAATCGCACTTTGAACGTTGCATGTGTTGCGTGTTATACATTGTCGATAATTACATGAAAATAATAACATCGCGCCGTTGGAGTTAATTGCAAACTGCATACGAATTAAAGCATCAGCGTTTCATTCTTTCTCTCTAACAGATCCATCGCGTCATCAGTGTGAAATTGAACGCTCTAATTGAAAAAACAAAACCGAAAGAAACGAAAGAAATATATAAATATATGTATAAAAAATATCCGAGCAACAAACTAACGTTAAAATGACGTATACTTGCTACCTGGGTGTATAAATATAAAAATCAAAATTAAATATATAAAAATGTATAAAAATTAAAATTAAATATATGTAATAAAATAAAAATATATTTAAAAAATTCTCATTTTTTCTTGGATGCACCAAAGTTTATTTTTGCTATATAATATTGAAAAAAAAACGTTTAGGCGCTTGTGCGGCACTTTATTTAAGTTTGTTCGCGTGCGGCGAGTTTAAACCTAATTTTTTCCACGCGAAAGTCATAATAAATGCTGCTCCACGTGTTTACTTAACACAATAAAATCCGATAAAATCCGCCGCATCGACAAGAATGTCGTATCTATCTAGGTAATGCGACGCTTGTCACGAGTCAAGTTCAGGTCGCGCGCCAAATAACCCAGGTATTTTGCGAGAAATTTGTTCCCGACGAGACGCGCGTCCCGGAAACGTTTATGCACTTGCCAATACCGATGTAAAATCTATTTTGAATGGATTCTACATTCGAAGGTCGCAGTGCGGGAACGAGTGTGCTGACTAATTTTTTGGACGTCCTTACTGCATGTATGTAGGTCAAACTAGGAAGAAACTGGCAATTGTTCCGAATATTAAAATCTGCCGAATTATTATTGTATTACATTATAAGTATTCATACATTTTTGCTATATCAAACATTTTAATAATTATTAAAAATTAATTAATTAATTAATTTATTTATTTATGTTCTATTTTTATGGAATAAATTAATATAATTTAAATTATTATATTATGCGGTTCTTTTTCGATCGATCGATGAGATTTATGTCACGCTAATTTAAATTTCGACTATCTTTCTATTTCGCATCGTTGAATGCTGACCAAAATATTATTTATCTCATCTCGTATTTGTGTGAAAACAATATTAAAACATTAGTTTAATATCAAAGTGATAAATATAAGGCCAACTTATCGAGCTGAATATTCGAAATGTTCAGTCAACTACCATTTATTACATGTATAAATTATAAAGCTACAGTCATTATATTAAAACTAACGCAAATTACAATCATTCTATATTTAGAATGATTGTAATTTGCGTTAGTTTTAATATAATGACTGTAGTTTTATAATTTATACATGTAATAAATGGTAGTTGACTGAACATCTCGAATATTCAGCTCGATAAGTTGGCCTTATATTTATCACTTTGTTTTCAATATACGAGCGACAATTGTATTAATTTATTTTTAGTTTAATATACATCATTCGATTTTTAAATTGGAAAGTAATTATACCACTCGAAACAAAAATTACTTCTCAATTTTTATCATTTTTGGATTTTTGGAATATAGAAATTTGTATTTTTTCCATTAATATTATTACAAATTATATTATTATATTTTATGTAAAAATATATAATAATATATTATAATATATTATCGTATATTAATAGTAGGTAATTAATAATGTATAAATTAATATGTAATTTAATATTCAATTTTTATCATTTCTCGGATTTTTAATATAGAAAAGTTGTCTGTACTTTCTCGTTAATATTATATTATTATAAATTATATCGATTATATTCGAGTACATACTCGTATGTATTTTTACAGACATGCTCTTTTAATATACATAATATATATAAATATAATATATACTATTATATAATTTAATATAATATATGATATAATTATAATATAATATATAATAAACTCTATTTATAATATAATCATATTTATACCATTTTTATCACTTCTCGGATTTTTAAAATAGAGAAAATTCTGTATATATTTTTTCCCTGAATATTATATTACAAATATTATAATATGATGTCGGGGGTATACTCGAGTGTACTATATCGTACAGAGACGTGTACTTTGATCTGATTGTTTAGCGAAATTATAAAGTACTCTCGCGGTCACGTAAACGCTGACCTATACACCTCGATCGCTCGATTGTTTTCCGCAGAAATGCAAGAAGTTCCGCGTGGGCGAGCGCTGCTGCGAGTTCGAGTGCCTGGACGACAGCGACGACTGGAGTGGCCCGGACGTGTACAACGTTTACGCCGCGGCGTCGTCGACGGACCTGAAGCAGAATCCGATGGTCCTCTTCCTCCTCGGACTGTTTGCGCTGCTGATGGTGCCCTAGTGCTCACGACCTGGCCCGAGGTGGAGGAGATCCGTCGCGAACCTTGCAGACCTCGCCCTCGTCAGGAAAATTCGTCCGTTGTTAGTGATATCAGTGATCCGACGGTGATGACGACAGATACGATGACGATGATTGTGCACGAGAAATCAGAGATTCCCGGAGACGAGTTTGATCGACTCATCCCCGCACGATTACGTCATTAAATGGCAAAATGGCGTCATTAAATGGCAAAATGACGTCATTTTGACGTCGTGACGTTATTAGAAATCATTTTGACGTTTAATGACGTCATTAGACATCATTTTGACGTCGTGACGTCATTAGACATCATTTTGACGTCGTAACGTCATTAAAAATCATTTTGACGTTTAATGACGTCATAAATCATTTTGATGTTTAATGACGTCATAAATCATTTTGACGTTTAATGACGTCATAAATCATTTTGACGTTTAATGACGTCAAAAATAACGTCATTTTGATGTCGGTCGTCATTAGAAACCATTTTGACGTTTAATGACGTCAGTTTGACGTTTAACGATGTCAGTTTGCTTCTTGGGATAATTAATAAGGGAAATAAATGAACCGAGAATTTGATCTTTTTTTTCATGAATGAGAAAGAAAGAGAAAAATTTATAAATGATATAACACGCGAATAATAGTTATCTCTCGCACGATCGTATGTCAATTAACAGGATATTTTTTTCGTAACTTTTTTGACAGCGAAATTTATAAACCTCGGAATTGTCGGGCGTAAAAATCACCATTATTAAAACAAACGTGAGTGATAAAGTTTTAGTGTTTTTTTTTAGCGAATTTATTTTTTCTGCCTTGTTAAATTCAATACGATGGAATACTCGATATTGAATCCGGCCGACGAGTATCAAAATCTAGTCCGAATATAAAGGAATAATGTATGTAGCTTTATTATTGACCTAATCCGAACATTTATTGTAAAGTGTCAGCCGCTGTCATTTACCAGAGACTTGTAATTAACATTCGGAATCTGTCTTTTTCTCTCTCTCTCTCTCTCTCTCTCTCGATTTAAGCGATATCGATTCTCGAGGACGATCGCAATCGAGTGAACGATGCGTCTCCAAGTAGTAAACTGACGTCATTAAACGTCAAATGACGTACCTTTGCTACCTGGGTCGTTATCAAACTTATCAGCATGAACCCTCGATACTCTCGATGGACAATTGAAGCTGACTGAAACCGCGCACGCGTATATATGTATATGCATGCGTAAGGTGAGAAATTTTTATTTTTCCATATTGTTATCGCGAAACACGTGCAAACGTGACGACGCGAAACGTGTTAGAAAGAGAGATTAGTGCGCATCAGGGACACCTATTATACCTATTATATATACATATATATAAAGGTTCGTCGTCAACGAAGGCTCCGTCGAATGTGTGATATCCCTCTTTGTTAACGAGACTCGTTTCAATCTCTCCAATTGAAATCGATTTCACCGTTCGTTCGTTTTTGCTTCGCGCCAAATTTGCCGGTGAACGGGCACTTTTTTAAAAGAACGTCGCCTTTGCGAATTGAAATACATATATATGCATACATAATAAAATCGAGAACGAGAGAGAGAAAGGGAGAGAGCTCGATGATAAATAATAATAATCCCGTCTCTATCTCGCTATTCGCTCTTTCATTTCACGATCTCGGTGTCTCTTCGACATTTCTTTTTTTCATTTAATTTTTTTTCCACACAGAGAGAGAGAGAGAGAGAGAGAGAGAGAGAAAGCTCTTATTCGCGTTGAAGGAGAAATCGAGTCTAATGATTCCGTTTATCCTACACCTACAATTTTGTCAAAATATCGATTTTTAAATTATCCTTGCGTTTGTGTACGCGTTATACTACGCATAAATTGTACGATAGCCGATGTTTATTTGATTGCTTATTATTTTACAACTACGATAATAATGATAAAGACACGCGACATGCTGAAACACCACAAATAGCCTGAAATTTTCATATAAATCGATCATAAATATGATTAAGAGTACTTGTGTATAAACATGCATGATGAGAAATCGGTATATTTGCATACATGCATACATTATTACATGTAAAATTATTAAAAATATATCAAGCACGTGGAAGATTTAAGGAAATATATGCTAATTTATTCGTTGAAATTTCTATTTTTACGTGCACTTAATATTTTGTTTTGTAAACGTTTGATATTATCACATATAACTTATTGAAATTTTAAGAAATGAGATTTTACTACGTTTTTGCGATAACGTACTATCTTAATCTGCAAATTGCTGGACACTCGATTACTCTTGTTACCAATTAACGCTCAAGCCATCAATTAACTCTGCTGATCGCGCGATATTTCAGAGCGATGGTGGTCTACAATAAGCGCCTAGATTTTCACGTAATAAGAAGCCAATTTATTAGAATTATAATTAAGATAATTCGATTTCGCCCACGCAGACTAATTGGATCGATAAGGAAGCTAAAGCTAAAATTATTAACACCTGAAAATTTAATATCGAAAATAATAATCTGACAATTGATATAACAATAAATCGGTGTAAACGCGGCTTTAGAGCCTCGTAGAATTTTTTTATCGTGTTAACATTTTTTTTTACAATCTTTTTCACAAGACTCGTCAAAGACAATTTAATGAAAAAAGAATTAATTAAGTTTTAATATGAAATTAATTGTAAACGGCGATAAATCCAAGCAACATGGGGCCACACGAGTAGTATAACGTACACAAACGTGCTTTCTTTACGGAGAAATATGTGAATGTTAATGATAAACATATGGTGCTAAGTCACTTCTCGTTAAAGAGAGTGACGCTGATGTATTTTACAAGTTCGCGAATTTTTCCGACATATTGCGACACTATTTTCAACATTTGCGCACGTATATATGCTTGCCTGTGATACATATGTATATATTTTTACGGCATTTCATTACTGTTGTTCTTGCCTTTGGATTATATCGCTTATAATGCTGCGAATGTTTCTTAAAAACGAAAAGCAGACCTTTCTTTTCAATTATAAAGGAACGAGAAACGAGATATATATTAATATTGCGTAAAAATGACGACGGTAATAATTAATTAATTAATTAATTAATAATAATAATGATATATCCAATTAATGTTACATTTATATTGTTAACATTTAATCGATTAAATATGCGAAAATTCTATTCCGTATATACATAAAAAAAAGAGTTGCCATATTTCTTTCAATAATATTTACATTAGAGCCCTAATATTCCGTGCGTATAATATACACGCACAGAATATACGTGTTACACACAACGACATTTAATTATTAATACAATAAAGATCCATTTTTATGAATGCGCGAAAAACAAAAAGCCACAGAATGACGCGATAAGAATATATTGTGATCCGTGAATTTAATTAAGCTACGCTCTTTATTACACAGGGTACCTATTTGCGAATAATCTTATTCACGATCGGAGGCGCATCCAAGTTGAAAAAAGCTTAAAAAGAGATCATATATTTCTCGTTTCGCGCAGATTTCTCTCGCAGATTTCACACCCCAATTTTTGCGATCCTTTGTTTAATATATACGTCTCTCCGCTGTTAGGAGACGTCCGTTCATGTATTATCATGTATTTATAGCACATTCAAGCTATCTTTCAATCGTTCGCAGCAATTTGAAACGTTAAATATCTCAATTGAGCTCTCAATAATGAATGCAAACTCGTTACAAATGATATTCTCAGCGTTGTACGACTGACCCATAACATATGAGCCAGATTATGATGATGATGATTGTCGTGGGAGCTTGGATCCTTTTGAAGCAAAAAAGAGCTTGGATCAACCTGTGTATTAGCGTGAATACCGGAGTGAATGGTAGAGATGTAAAAGTTTTTTTTTTTTTCATAAAAATGATTTTTAGCGGCGAATCGTTAGAACAAGTAGTAGATAAAACAGATGTTCGAGATTATGTTTGTAATTTAAGTTTAAGTTAATAGTATAACACATATATATACATATTTGTTCAATATATCTGGCCCGAATGTTTCCAATATAATTTCTTTCTTAAAAATAAAAAATCTACCAGATATTTTTATTGAATAGCGAAAGTGAAACTTTGATATCGCTTTCTAAATATTTTGACCAAAAAAACTTCTGTAACTTAACTATATTTTTGCGGAGCCAGGTGTAATAGAGCTTAAGTTATACTGTAAAAATTGTATCACGATGCAGAGCAAATACGTTTGATAATTTTATTGTCCTATTTCGAAGAACGAGGTCTTATTAACTGGCGAAAAACGCGTAGTCGTGCTTTTCTTTCGCATCTCGTCATTATATTTTTGCTCTCCTCTTCTTCTCTCTACTCTAATTCAGCGGAGAGAATTATTCGACCAATTCCTCTAAGCTTACACTTTAAACTAATATTTACAAAAGAGAAAAATAAGATATATATATATATATATATATATATGTATGTATGTATATATGTATATATATACATATTATATATTTCAAATGTAAATAGCTAGACGATAGCTTTAATATTATTATAATACATGTAATTACTTTCGATCGTAATTATGTCATGTACTAATCAAGGGGCCTTTTATGTATGAATGATCATTCGGAATGCATATTACAATAAAATTTAATCCAAATGATTAAATGGACCCGGGTCGATAATAACAATAACAATTTTAATCTTCCTTTGATTTTCCTCGATCGACGAAGAAATATATCGCCTTTTGCAGGTACATCGATAATAAGAAATAATTATAATTTAATATAGGAAATAATATACAGTGTGTATAATTATTTAGAAAGAACGTACAGAGATTAATTATTTGTTAGACAATTGATGTATTATTGAGCTTTATTTTATTTACTACGATCCTACGATTCGATTTTTTTAACATAATTATGGACCTGATAATTATAATAATCTTGCGGAATACTAATATAATATATGAAGCGCTACTATGTCACTACTCCTCCCTCGAGTCTCAGTGTATGAATGAGATTACGTATATCTTAATTATATGCACATGCGCCAAATACACCCCACCCCCATATGCGCCAAAACTCTCCCACCAGTGCGTCAAATATATCCCGCCTGCGCTCTGAATTCCATCATTCAGACAATGAGACTCGAGAGGGTAGTGATGAAATTTGATCATATATCATGAGTTTATAAAATTATAAATTTCTACGTAATTATTATAATTAAAAATTTAACCCACGCGATTGATTTAAAACTTTTAAATGCTTGTACAATTTATAATTGCATAATTTCATATAATGTAATGTAATATTGTTTAGTATAATTTATTATATTCTGCGTATGTATAAAATGTAGTATGAAAATATTTCGACAAATATTTCCGATTATTTATCTTTTGATTTTTCGATTCAAAATAATATAATTCGAATTGAAAATTCGCAAAAACAATCGAATTGCAGACTCGAATATTAACATAAAGTTAACAATAAGTTCTTTGATACACACACATCAATTGTTCAATAAATAATTAATCTACACTTCAAAATAGTTGCACAAAAAAATGTATATTTCAAAATGCTTATAAACTTAATATTCCGCGTATATACAGGGTGTTCAATAACAAAATCACTCGTGTGCAGATAGAATATAAAATTCACACAGAAAGTGATTATTATACTTATCTGAAACATACACGTGTACTGCATGTCGCGTGTTTCTCTCTTCTAGTGCCATGTGTGACCTCGATACGAGAATTTTATCAACAAGATGTATCCGAGTATAAAATTTAGATTGCCCGCCGTTACAGCTTGTCGTGCAAAATTGCTTAATGGCGCGTAAAAACGTATCGTCATACGTCACAACGTCTTCCTAATCTTCTCCTTTCCAAATGGTGTCGTACAGATCTGTACGTCGTTGACTGAACGTCGGGATTTGCGCTCTGACCTCGTCCACGACTTTCAGATCTGCGGCAATACATTATTTCGATATATAGTATATGCAATGTAGTATTATTTCCTAGTATATATTAATTTTTATATATTAATTATTTTAATATATTAATAATTTTATATATTAATATTTATTATATATATTTTATAATTGTAATAGTATGCAATACAGTAATATTTCTTAAGAGAGAAATTAATATATAATTTTAATTAATATAATTATAAATAATAATATATGCATAATTATAATTAATATATAAATTCATTATATAATAAATATTTAATATATAAATTCAATATATAATAAATATTTAATATATAAATTTGTAATATACAAATATTGTAAGGTGCAAAATTACGTTCCAGTTTGACAGGATTTAATCTATTATACCTATGTCAGAGACCACCATAGCCTCGTCGGCATCCAACTCGTGAAGGATTTCTCCCCAAGGGCTAGTTAACTGAGTATGGCCCCAAGCGATGTATCCTGGCGGTGAACCACGTGCCGGCGATACGCAGGCTACGTATAATTGATTGTCATTCGCTCTGGCACGCTGTAGTAACGACAATGCAGAGGACCAGTGGTCATATTGAATGCCGCTGGATATATCAACATCTGACAACCTGATATCGTATCACGAAACTTAGAAATAGCGAATAAATAAAGAATAATATAAAAATTACCCAGGTAGCAAGCATCATTAGGTGTCAAAATGACGCTCATTTTGAC